TCAGTCGCAGGCGCCCACCTAGAGAACGAGAGAATTCATTTCAAGTTCAAGTCAGTAGCAGGCGCCCACCTGGAGAATGAGGGAATTTATTTCAAGTTTTAAGTCATCAGGCGCCCACCTGGAGAACGAGAGAATTCATTTCAAGTTCAAGTCAGTAGCAGGCGCCCACCTGGAGAATGAGGGAATTTATTTCAAGTTTTAAGTCATCAGGCGCCCACCTGGAGAACGAGAGAATTCATTTCAAGTTTTTAAGTCGGCAGGCACCCACTTGAAAAATGAGGAAATTTATTTCAATTTTCAAGTCATTGGCAGGCGCTCACCTGGAGAACGAGGGAATTCATTTCAAGTTTCAAATCAGTTGCAGGCGCCCACCTGAAGAACGAGGGAAGTCATTTCAGAATTCAATTCAAGTTAGAAGTAGCAGAAGCTCGCCTCAAGAATGCAAGTCGACAGTCCGAGATGACCAAAAGAAGAAGTATCAATCTAGAATAAAAAGAAGAAGTGAATTCAAAATGCAGAAGCAGATGAAAAGATATGGGCTGCTCAAGACATGACTGAAGTCGCAAGCTTTTCATGTCCCGTCTTGATCCGAAAAGCCAAAGAGGAATGAACTAGCACCTACAACTAGCAAGCATCAAGGTTTAGATCAGAGTCTGCATGAAGAACCAACCAAGACTCAAGATCAAGCTTCAAAAGACTCATAGATAGGAATCTTGTAACTCATAGCTGATAGGCTTAGTCAGTCTTTTTCATTTTGACTTTGGTGTAATAAGGAGATCAGCAAGTAGTAAACAGCAGCAACAACAGTGAATTCATAGCTTCTCGGTAGTCCCAGCTACCTAAACTTCCATAACTACACTGACCTGATTCCTTTATAGCCAAGGATATGTAGGCAACCTCCGAAGTAAGGTTCGGTCAAACTTTTCAAAAAACGCTTCCCGTGGAGTATCCAAACGGGCAAAAATTGCTCATAATTGCTCACTTTATCTTTGCCCAAAAACTCTTCATATTTTCGAGCAAAGAGGGGCAGCTGTGAGCACCTAATTTTTGCCCTAATATAAAATTACTCCTAAAAAATCCAAAAATAAAATAGCTTTAAATTATTTTTCTATATTTTTGCTTAGTTAGCTTTGTACGTATTCATGTTTGATGCATTTATAAGTTGCATTTTAAATCCTAAAGAAAAATACAAAAATATTTTGAATTTTTAGATTTTAATTGCATAATTAATTGCATTTGTAAAATACTAAAATACCAAAAAATACATTAGTAACTCTACATGCATTTGTTAGCTAAATAAATTAGTTAATTGTAGAAAAATAGGTTATTAGGTTAATTTTACAAATTAGTTAGAACTAGGACTGTTAAATAAAATGATTAGTCTTGCAAAATACAAAGAAAGAAAAGAGAAGGCTATGGGGTCTCATTACAGCTTTGGGTCATGTGCTTCTAGTGGCCCATTTTCCTTCCATTTGCCCAAGCCCGCTACCCGCCGGCCCAATATCCCCCATCTCTAAAATAGACC